TCTGCTTCAGGAAAGGTCAACAGGAGGCACAAACTCTGGCCTGCATTGTGCAGACGTGGGCTTGGATCCCCGACACGTGCTTTGAAACCTATTATGCAATGTGATGTTCACTGATTCATGGCTGCTTGCACAAGCTTTTCATTACCCTGAATTCAAGCATACTGGGAATGATTAACTTTGTGACATAACTCTCATCACACCACTATGGAAGATTCAAACAGAGTTCCAAAATCACACGCTTCAGAAATAACCGAATGTGTTTTGGCTTCTTAATGGATCTGTGATTAACAACTGCTTTAAAGCTACTGAGTGAAACAGAGAAACCTATTTGGGAATTTTGTCCAGAGTGGGGGTTTCATGAGCTTGGTTCATGCATGAACACGCTTCTACTTTAATTTTGCCTTTTGTATTCTAATTTGCTATGAAAAACATCAGATCTGTTTTGCAATGCTCCATCTTATGAGCTCAATACTGAATATACAGTTACTTTTTTTTCCTTATTTTTTATGTTAGAGTATAGTTGATTAACAATGTTGTGTTAGTTTCAGGTCTACAGCAAAGTGATTCCGTAACACATATTCTTGTGTCTGTTATTTTTCAGGTTCTTTTCCCATTTAGATTATTACAGAGTACAGAGTATTGAACAGCTTCCCCTGTGCTACACAGTAGGTTCTGTTGATCATTTTATATATAGTAGTGTGAATATACAGTTGCTATTATTCAACATTTTGGGGCCACAAAACTATGCCTCTCATATCCCCAAACATGATAGATACTTAATATGATGCTTATTATTGATTTCATATGGTTAAATAGTAAATTAAAGTTTTGCATCTTGTTAAGGATTTTTAAATCTTCATTGAGTACAGTGTGACATGCTTGGGTATAAGGACTCTTTGATATGAATGTCAGGAAATCAACTAAAGTGGCTTAGGCACGAAGGAGTTTCGTGTTTCTCGGCATGGAACTCTGACAGGACAGGGGAACCAGGGTCGCAGGGCTTCAGGGGCACTCTTCATTTCTTGTCATGGGTCCTCTGGCATATGGCTTCATCCTCTGGCTGGCCTCAGCTCCACGCTGCCTGCCTCGCCACCAGGGAAGAAGGGGGACTCTCTTTACTCAGGTCTAACTCAGACTCTCCCGGGATTGGCCTCTGGTGGGCCTTGTAGATCACATGTCCTCTTTGTGGCCACAGCAGTGGACATTGTAAGTGGGGGATGTGAAAGAAAGTGAAAGTGAAAGTATTAGTCACTCAGCTGGGTCAGACTCTTTGTGACCCCATCGGCTGTAGCCCGCCAGGCTCCTCTGTCCATGGGATTCTCCAGGCAAGAATGCTGGAGTGGGTTGCCATTTCCTTCTCCAGAGGATCTTTCTAACCCAGGGATCAAACCTAGGTCTCCTGCATTGCAGGCAGATTCTTTACTGCCTGAGTCTCCAGGGAAGGCTCAAGTGGGGGATGGAGGTCTCTCCAACTGAAGGGAGGGCTGCTGTTCTGGCCAGAAAAATCACAGCAGCCCCCGAGGACCAACCTTGACCCAGTTGGTCATCTGTTCCCCATGATGCCCCCAAATCACCGTAAAGCATTTCTTCCTTGTCCATCCACAACTTGCCCTAAAGGCATTTTCTCTTTTTATGTCTATGACTTATGTTAAAGCATTCCTTTCTATATGTCCACAAACGCAGGTGTTTGCTAAGAGCCACCTCAGGTCCTGCCAGCAACTGTACCCAGCTCTCACCCCATACCTCTAGGTCACATCCACAGACCCAGGTAGCCCGTGGCCTCCATGCTAGTCAGTCACCTTAGCACGCTGTATGCAGCGAGGAAGGGAACTCATTTATAAACGGGGACAAGTCATATTGAGCTTTCTGTCCCCACAAAATCCATATCGGGGGGACGTGCATGACAGGGCCAGTGGTTCTCAGAAGTCCATTTTTGACCCCATTCCCTGACAGTAGATTAAGCCCCTTAGCAATCTCCTCACCAGGTTCTTGCTGATACGCCTTCCCCCTGAAGTATGATTGGAGAGAAGCTCTTCATGGGGGTCTTTATCCCTCGTTGATTGACTTTTGTGAGTGTTGTTAGAAGGTTCTGGAGGTTGTCATGAACTAGGTAATAGACCCCTAAAAACTGTGTTTGGCTTTTCATACATTTAATATAGGGGAGGCAATCCATTATCTAATAACCGATAAAGTGATTCTAGTCAAATGAGTAGTCTGGGACCTGGATTGAGTGGAATCTGTGGGCTTTGCCTCCTCAACCTTGTACTTGGGAAATTCTGCTCTCTCTAGACCTCAGCTTAAAGGCATTTTCTTTAGACCAACAGCATATTGAGGGCTTGGGAGAGGCAGATGGGGTTACTAGTGTGTTCCAGTGTGTGACCCTATCAGTGAGGACCTAAATTAGCCAGGTAGGTAAGATACACAATCCACTGTCAGGGGAAAGGGGTCAAGTGATGGAGGGGGCATGGTCAGGGTAAGTCACCAAGGCCCATGCAGGGATTTTTTTAGTAGCAAGAAACACAAACCTAACTTGAACTAAATTAGGCAGGGAAAGAGAATTACCAGCCAGCTTCTGGGGCAGCTAGATGTGTCTCCATCTTTTCTCGTCTCTCTCTCCTCTGCGCATGGAAGAGGACGTGCCCCTGGTGGTCCCCAGGTTGTGTCTTCCCAGTCTTTCAACCAAAGTGGAGAGTGATCTTACCTCTATATTTTGGGAAGGACTGGGACAAGGGCAAGGTGCTGTAATCGACAGCCTTCATTAGGACTCCATTCTTGGAGTTGGGGATACAATGCAGGAGACCCCCACCACACTTGGTTTTAATGACACAGATATACATGTGGAGTATCATCGGGCAGACCCATGCGCCTATATCTCCAGTTCTTAATGCATTTTCTTGTTCACCTCTGCACTTGCACTATGGTTGAACACTCAGGAAACCACTTGGTCATTGTTAACGGTCTATAAATCCATGTTGCCACTAACTGAATAAGCAAGCTCGGCGCAGGTACACCCATGCTTCCCCAGTGTTGTAAGAGTTGCTGTGTTTAATAAAGTGCTGGTTCATCTTAAATTGGTTCAGCTTAAGTCATCGCTCAATCCATGTTTGTTATTTGTCACTTTATTCATTTTCTAAGAGAGATTGATAAATGTCCAGTTAATTCCAGATAGGACTCCTTAAAATATGATGATGCCCACACTCAGAAACACAGGTGCCCTGGTTTTTTATTGCATCTGGAGCAATTCTATAGTTTTCTGCTGCAAGATGACTAGGCAAGCACCAGTGGACTTTTTCTAAATAACGCATCCTAACAAATACACACTACTATATATTCTGTATAGCACTGGGAACTGTACTCAATGTTTTGTAATAGCCTATAAGGGAAAAGAATTTGAAAAAGAAAAGATATATGTATATAACTGAATCGCTTTACATCTGAAGGTAACACATTGTAAATCCACTATGTGTGCTCAGTCACTAAATTGTGTCCAACTCTGCGACTCCATGGACCATAGCCCTCCAGGCTTATCTGTCCATGGGATTTCTCACACAAGAATACTGGAGTGGGTTGCCATTTCCTTCTCCAGGGGATCTTTCTGATCCAGGGACCAAACCAGCGTCTCTTATGTCTCCTGCATTGGCAGGTGGGTTCTTTACCACTGAGCCACCAGGAAAGCTCTAAATCAATTATATATTAATAAAAAAGAGAAAGAGAGAAATAAGCATGTCCTGTTCCCTAAATAAAACTTCTAAAGAAGAGAATGCTTGGTTTTCTTTTGCCTGAACATCTTACACAATGCCTGCATGTTTGATGAGACACTTAGAAGGGATATAAAAGATTGGTTAGCCTACAGGGCAGCCACATATGCTCATGAGAAAAATGAGAAAGGGGAAAAGGTGGTGAAGCAGGAATCCAGCCATCACCCTTCTGCCTATACACTGTTCTCCAAAGCCCCAAGCCCCTCCTCTTCGAAGAGCAGACTGTACGATAGCCTTGTGCACTTGGCTTTGAGGGACGGCATTGGCAGGCAAGTGTTTTAATGGAGACGGGACCTGAGCTGTCTGAAATTCAGGCTACAGTCCTACCCTGATGGCCCTTTCTTTCCACTTCAGCAGGGGAGCCTGTAGTTTTAGCTTCATTGCTAAGGGGTTGCATTTGTCCACCATCAAGCTTGGGAGAGTTCCATGTCCCTGTGACTTCCCACACTCTGGCTTCATTGAAAGCCACTAGGGTGAGTAAACATTGACTCTGGAGTCATCTCAGAGCTGGTGCAAAGGTGCAGGAAGCAGTTCTGGGCTGTCCGATGCTGCCTACGTGCTGATGGCTCTGGAGAGGGTGGTAACAAGGACAGAGCTGCTTCCTGGAACAAGGCGTAGATAAGAGGTGGCTTGTTCTGCTTGAGTTTCCGTTGAACTTCACTGCGAGTTACAAAATCCTATGACATAATTACTGCACATAGGATTTTTTAGCAGTGATTTCCCCAAGAAGGACTCTGTGTATATGGAGAGAGAGGAGAAAGAGACAGAGAGGAGGAGAGAGAGAGAGACAGAGAGAAAGGGAGTGTGTGTGAGCAAGCATGAGTTCCTGCTGATAGTTATTTTGGAAAATGTTCAGAGAGGCCAAAAATAATGAGGGGATCTTGGGGTCTTGGGGGTCTCTATGCAGAGAGAATGCCCCCCCACCCCACCTTGTGCTGAAACAGCAGCAAGCACTGTGTGGTGTCCGTGGGGTCCCCGAACCCACCCTTCTCTGTGCTCGCTGGGCTGGACTGGGCTGGGCTTCTCATCTTGGTTGTCAGACCTACCACACTTGTACTGACCAACTAAATCTGCAGCCTTCCTTGCAGGCTTTTTCTGGCTTGTAGGAGAAAAATGGCATTTAGAGCTAGGTTATTCCAAAGGGTGGAGGGAGCTAAGTCCACTGGAGGCTAAAAATAGCCAGAGCCCAGCTGGCCCAGCCAGGCCTGCGGGCCTAGGGACCGCCCTCCGTCCCCCTGGCCCTCCCTGGGTGCCACATGCCGACGCTAGTTCCAGGAGGTGCTCAGAGCCTGTTACTCATATGTCAGATTCCCACTGTTGTGATGTTATTTCATGCACCAACTGCATTTTCATAGAAAAGCGTGAGTCACTCCTGAGTGGGGCTTTGGGAAAGAACTTGGCCAGGGTGGTAGGGAGCGGCTCTCATAAGCCGGAAATCTAGGCGGGGAAGGGGCCTTTTATAGCATCCTGCGTTGGCTTTTTCTGTAGGTTAATTTTTATCTTAACAACCAAGATAAGGTTGAATGATCTTTTTATAAGAAATCTATTTAAATACAAGGGAATATTTGAACTTCTTTTTAAAAGCCGAGGGCATTTTTTGTGGTGCTCAATTTATAAATAAGATAGATTAGGGGTTGTTTGATGGACATTTACAATGCCAGTACGGGGCATTCTCTCCGCACCACTCTGGGGACACAAAATACCCTTTGTTCTAGCCTGCAGGGACACTGGCTCTGATCAGCCAGGCATGCCTACCCCAGAACCCTCCAGACAGGGCTTACTGCTCAAAACAGATGGTGATTTTTCAAACTGAATGCTATTCTGGTGCACTTACTTAGGAAAAAGATCTAAAAATAGACTTGAATGAGCCTAACCTGCAAAAATAAGTTGTCAGCTTCTTTTTACTCCTTCTGGGTTGAAAACAAAGCTGTCAGCAATTTCTGTGCGTTGAGGAATCTGTGTGCTTTCTTATTTTAGAGAAAGCTTTTTCAGTAGGACTGCAATTGAGTCCCCTTAAATCTCTCAGTGTCAACAAATTACCATCTGTTGTTCTAGAGACTCTGAAGCTGATGAGTCCTCCTCCCCACTTGAAGCTGGAGACAGGTTGCCCATCTGGAAAACGGGTCCTGAGTATGGGGACCAGTGCTGTGCCCCTGGAGGGGCTGATTGCAGGATCTCAAGGTCAGCCAGACCCCCTGAAGCCTGATGCTGGAAGCAGTTGCCCCCTCGGTGCGGTGAAGGCACTCTGCTTGGAGATGCGGTAGCCCTGAGGTCCAGGGTGGCGGTCTGATGCCTGTCATGACTTGGGTAGTGATGGCCCCAGCACTGGACTGTGAGGAGATGGCCAAGCACTCACCTTCTTCACAAAGTACCTGGTGCTGACTTGTCTGGTGGACAGTGTGCGCCGGCCTTGTGGGGGTTTTGTACAATATTATTGTCTGTGAAATGAGGCTCCCCCCATACTAACAGGGTGTGTATAACCTAGAGAAGTCGAGGGCAGGTGGAGCCCTTCGTCATCCTGGGAGGGACTGGCTTGAATTTGAGAAATAAAATGAAGCTGGAAATGGCACTTCTACTTGTGGAGAATTGTGCCGGTGATCCCCACACTCAGTCTAGGCATGAGCAAGTGCAGGCTCTTGGGACCACACTGAGCCTTTGCCATGGTCACATGGGCACACAGTCCACACCTTCCCCTCTCCCACACAAACCACAAACACACACCTGCTGAGATGATGAGCAATTTTTCCTGGGATGGAGAAGGTGGGATATCAGAGGAGAAAAAGTTAGACTAGGGAGATGCTTGGTGGTGGAAAGGGGCGGGAGAGAGCAAGGCTGGGCTGGGTGAATGCCAGAGGACTGCTGGGCTCTAAGAACCTCCAGGCTGGCTCCCTCAGGCCATCCGAGAGGGCTCAGGTGATGGTCAGGCTTGGACAGTGTTGGAGGCTCTGGGAATCTGCCCAGCCAGTTTCTGTTTGATGAACTGTTTTGATGGAACGATCTCATTAGCCAAGAGTTAATTTAGCCTGTGTGTGCTAAGTGGGAGAAGCTAGACTCACCACTAGCCATTTTCCCAGGCTGAGCTGGAATGGAAGCTTGCACACCTTCCCTCTATGCACAGACTTTTTCAAAGGGATCATCAGGCCATTTGCCAACCAGAGGCTCCAGGTTCCTATGGACACTAAAGGGTGCTCTGTACACTCCTGGCTTCTAGCGAGTGACACTAAGACCATGGTGAATATATGTGTGTTTTGGACACTGCATGACAATTCTTAACAACCTTTCTTCCAGCTAAAAACACATGGAAGAATCAAAGGATTCTGACCATTTCAAAGTAATTTGAAAGGTTGCCAGTGACTAGTCTAGGTCCCAAATTTTCTTGAAAGAAAAATGAAGTTTTAAGAGGAATAGAAAGGACACAGTACTTCAAAAATTAAGTGGAGCAGACCAATGAAATTAATGGTCTTTAAACCTTGGAAGAACGTCTGTCCTACCCTTGGACTGCTTCCTGTGGTCCAGAGAGCAATGCAACTGGCTCACCCAGTCACAGCCTCCGGCGATGTGATCCCTGCGAGAAAGTGTCTGGCAGTAGAGAGGAGGCAGAGGGAGGACCTCTCAGAAGAAACGATCAAGAAGACATACGGTCAGTGCCCTGTGTCAGCAAGGATCTGGGGCCAAAGGAGGGGTGGTGTGTCATAGCAATGATGTCAGAAATCCAAAGCCACACATTTAAAAAGAAAGTTCTATTCTTTGTCAATGCAGTTGAAGTTCAAGGGATTTGTCCTGAGATACTAATCAAGGATGTGCACACAGAATGTTAACCTCTGAAACAAACAACTGTAACAATAGGGGTGGAACAAATACATTCTAGCACATGGACTCCATGTACTGAGACTGAGTTGTAGACGTGTGTATGTGATTGTCAAAGAAAAATAGAAAAATGTTTTCTGTGAGCTGTTATATGAAAAAAAAATTACAATTCAGTCAGTGTAATATGGTTCGATTTTCATGCAATATAATACCTTTCTTAATTTTTCTGCAATTGTATTCGTTTTCTAGGGCTTCCCTGGTGGCTCAAATGGTAAAGAATTTGCCTGCGATGCTCGAGACCCAGGTTCAGTCCCTGGGTCGGGAAGATCCCCTGGAGAAGGGAATGGCAACCTACTCCATTATTCTTGCCTGGAGAATTCCATAGACAGAGGAGCCTGGCAGATTACAGTCCATGGGATTGCAAAGAATTGGACACACCTGAGCGACTAACACAGACTAAACTAAACATTAGTTTCCTACCATGGCTGTAACAGATCATCACAAACCTGCTGACTTCAGACAACATACATCTGTTATCTCACACTTCGGTAGTTCAGATGGTTGACATGGGTATCCTGGGGCTCAGAGCAAGGAGTCAGTGTGGTGGGCTGTCTGGAGGCTGCAGGGGAGCCTTTCCAGCTGCTGGTGGTCATCTGCATCCCTGGGATTGTGTCCTCACTCCTTCAGAGTACCAACGCAGTTCAAGTTCTTTCCCCACACCTCTGGTCTCTCATGTCCTCATCCACAGCGGGGACCTGAGACCATGTTGGATGTACTCAGCTGTCCAGGAAAATCTCCCTATTTTAAGGTCAGCTGCTTAGCATCCTTTATTTTAATTTCCTTCATTTCACCTGCTACCCTAATCCTCCTTTGTCATGTAGCTTAACATATTTACAGGTTCCAGAGCTTAGGACACAGACATCTTTGAGGGGAACAGTATTCTGCTCACCACAACACATTGCTGTGCTGTGAAAAGTTGCTCCGCTTGTGTCCTACTCTTTGCTACCCCATGGACTGTAGCCCACCAGGATCCTCTGTCCATGGGATTCTCCAGGCAAGAGTACTAGAGTGGGTTGCCATGCCCAGATAAGAAAGGTTCCTCAGTGATTAGTGCAAAGAAATAGAGGAAGACAGTAGAATGGGAAAGACTAGAGATCTCTTCAAGAAAATTAGAGATACCAAGGGGACATTTCATGCACAGATGACCACAATAAAGGACAGAAATGGTATGGACCTAACAGAAGAAGATATTTAGAAGAGGTGGCAAATACACAGAAGAATTACACAGAAAAGATCTTCATGACCCAGATAATCATGATGGTGTGATCACTCACCTAGAGCCAGACATCCTGAAATGCGAAGTCAAGTGGGTCTTAGGAAGCATCACTATGAACAAAGCTAGTGGAGGTGATGGAAGTCCAGTTGAGCTATTTCGAATCCTAATCAATGATGCTGTGAAAGTGCTGCACTCAATGTGCCAGCAAATTTGGAAAACTCAGCAGTGGCCACAGGACTGGAAAAGGTCAGTTTCATTCCAATCCCAGAGAAAGGCAATGCCAAAGAATGTTCAAACTACCACACAGTTGCACTTGATACCACCCTAACGGCGGGAAGTCAAGAGAAACTAAAAAGCCTCTTGATGAAAGTGAAAGAGGAGAGTGAAAAAATTGGCTTAAAACTCAGCATTCAGAAAACTAAGATCATGGCACCTGATCCCATCACTTCATGGCGAATAGATGGGGAAACAATGGAAACAGTGACAGACTTTATTTTGGGGGGCTCTAAAATCACTGCAGATGGTAGCTGCAGCCATGAAATGAAAAGTTGTTTGCTCCTTGGAAGAAAAGCTATGACAAACCTAGACAGCTTATTAAAAAGCAGAGACATTACTTTGCCAACAAATGTCCATCTAGTCAAAGCAGTGGCTTTTCCAGTAGTCATGTATGGATGTGAGAGTTGGACTACAAAGAAAGCTGAGTGCCAAAGAATTGATGCTTTTGAACTATGGTGTTGGAGAAGACCCTCGAGGGTCCCTTGAACTGCATGGAGATCCAACCAGTCAATCCTAAAGGAAATCAGTCCTGAATATTCATTGGAAGGACTTATGCTAAAGCTGAAACTCCAAATCTTTGGCCGCCTGATGTGAAGAACTGACTTACTGGCAAAGACCTTGATGCTGGGAAAGATTGAAGGTGGGAGGAAAAAGGGATGACATGGAATGAGATGACTGGATGGCATCTGTGACTCGATGGACATGAGTTTGAGCAAGGTTCGGGAGTTGGTGATGGACAGGGAAGCCTGGCATGCTGCAGTCCATGGGGTCACCAAGAGTCAGACACGACTGAGTGACTGAACTGAACTGAACTGAACTGAACTTGCCATGCCTTCCTCCAGGGGATCTTCCGTACCAGGGAATTGAACCCACAACTCCTGCGGCTCCTGCATTGCTTGCAGATTCTTTTCCTTTGAGCCACTGGGGAAGCCCTGGGCTCACCAATTTCCCTCTTGTATCCTCCAGGAGACTTCCTTTTGCTAGTGGCAGTAAATGCTGCTATTAAGATTGCCCCTGACTAACATTCTGTAGATGTCATCATAAGCCCCTCCGTGTTGCATTAGAGAACACAAACAGTCCATTGTTGGGACCTCCTCTGTCTTCACCCATTCAAACCTGAGCTGAGTTAAAAAATCCAAAGTGTGCACTGGGGACTTCCGTGGTGGTCTAGTGATTAAGACTCTTAGCTGCCAATGCAGCGAGTATGGGTTCGATCACTGGTCAGAGAACTAAGATCTCACATACCGCAGAGCATGGACAAAAGTTAAAAAAAAAGTGCACCATTTTAGGGAGAGACTAGGCCTTCCTTCTTGAGAGCTTGCTGGTCCCCAGTGGGTTTCTGGGCTGCACCCACTACTCTCACTCCCTTCCCAGCCCGAGGAGGAAAGGGCAGAGGACCCTGAGGGTTTAAGACAGCTGTGACTCTTCCACGGTCAAAGGGACCCTTAGAATGTGGTGTTTGACTTGAATTAGTTCCTGGGCCACCCAGGGCTCCGGTGGTGTTTCCTTTCCTTCATCTTCTTCTTACATAAGTCCCTAAGTGGCTGACCTTCACCTGCCAGCATCACTCCCTCCAAAGGGACCCCAGAGGGGCATCCTGGTTGCTGAGTTGGCCCCTTGGGGGGGGCCCATCCCTCCACCTGGGATCTCCTCGTTTCCGGCGGTCAGAGCATATCTGCTTTGCTTTCTTCCACTGGACTGCTCAAAAGTGTGTGTATGTGTGTTGTGTGTGTGTTCTCTGTTGCTTTGTGTGTGTTGTGTATATTTTGTGTTGCGTTGTGTGTTGTGTACGCTTTGTGTGCTGTGTTTCTCTGTTTTGTGGGTTATGTGTGTTGTGTGTGTTGCGTGCGGTGGGGTGGATGTGTTGTGTTATGTATGTGTGATGGGGCGTATGTGTGTTGTGTGCTGTATGGGTTGTGTATATTGTTTGTTGCATATGTTTTGTGTGTTGTTCCTGTTTTGTGTTGTGCGTGTGTTGTATGCATTGGGTGTGTATGTGTGTTGTGTGTACAAGCAAAGGAGTCAGAGCTATGCACTGTGCCCATTGCATATCTCTAAGTTAATGCTGTGTGGTTTCCCCTTTCTTACTTTGAGTGTAGGTGGTATTTTATTTTCTGCTGTTGCTCTTCTGTGGAAATTGACTTTGTGAGGTTCGGGGGAAGAAGGTTTTGTCAGCATACATCTTTCTACTTTGAAAGAGAGCTGATCCA